CCAGGAGCTGTATAAGAAATGCTGCTCTTGTCGTTCAAGTGCCCTCCTGTCTTCAAGACTTTTAGCTGCAGTTAAATTCGAAAGTATGAACTATGATAAGTGGATTATGATTGTTGCAAATGTCAAAACTGTGAGTAACTGACCTTAATATCCTCTCCACAATTAAATGATGAACTTCACGTTAAGAAGGAGATTGTTTTCAGCACTGATAATTAAAGGTCAGTACAATATCCATTTAGGAAGCAGCATTTCCTTGCAAAGTAATAGAAACCAGACTGAATTCACCTCTACCACAAATGCCCTGGCAGTATCTGCAGTGTTGCTAGAACTGCAGTTCTCACTCAACTTGGAGACTTGGTTATGTTTGAAGTACTCTGCTGCTTTTCTTACTCTGCATTGAGGAAGAGTATGCTTGGGTGAATAGTCTGCCACCCAAGAGATAGGGTACGGAATTGCTTCATTTCGTAGGATGACTGTGCCGCCTTTTAATAATTTTTGAAGGGGAAAGCAAAGGTCTTGCTTTATTAATGGAATAGCACGGCTCTAAGGCACCAAAAGGCCTAGAAAAGCCTGTGCGTCTACACCTTTTTATAAAATGGAGAAATAGTGTTGCTTTGGACCTCTTTATAACAGGTTTAGTTAAACCTTAGGAGAACTGACTTGCATGCCTTTTCAGTTTTTCAAGAGAAGTTTTGTTTTGGTTCTCCAGGCTCTCCTGCTTTCAAAACTACAGATTTTTTAATTCAAAAGCTTACTTCAGGGTTGGAAATACCAGTGTTGCGGTTTTCTCTCAGCCCTGGTGCCAGCGAGTTGAAAAGCCGTGGTACATGGAGAGGGCACCTGTTGGCACCTGTGGCAGACACCATGTGCCAGGACAAAACATGTGATAATCTGAATTTGGCTCAGTATAGGTAAAGGGAGAGAAGTCGATCCTTCTCTGGAGACACAAACTATCTAACACCTCCAAATGCAAGGGAGGTGCCTTTCTTGCATGTCACCTTTCCTGCTAAGACTTTTAAGTGTTTTGGCTTTAGTTTTCTTTGATTTTGCGACTTCTGGTTTTGCCTCCTTTCCTAAGAACTGTTGTTGCTTTGTCTTCCCCCATTCATATTCTTTTTTCTTTCTTTTTTGCTGCATGGAGACTCTCTGCTGTACAAGTGTAAGTATTTTTTTAGCTCTGCTGATTCTGGCCTACTTGTTTACATTTTTGTGCTTCGTTTGCTTCTGTACTGCCTTGTTAGTCTCCTGGGAGGCTGCCGTGTCATCCTCCGGCAGCTGCTGAATGCAATAGGCAGCAGTTGAGGGACGAGATTGGGTTTTACAAGAAGTTTTGACTTTAAGAGCAACCGAAGCAGAGTGCTAATATCAGAGATATAAGCATAGATGTTACTGCTTGGAGAGAAAATCTGCCAATTTGGTTTTACATTCAAGTCTTATCCAGCTTATTGACAGTAGCCTATGAGTAACCATAAGCTCGGATTTTCTTGCCATGGCAAATTTGGACTGGAAGAGATATTGCAGGTTATCTCAATACGGTCAGGTTGGTTTTCTTTGTCTTGAGTTGAGTTAATGTGAATTTTTCAATGCGACTCCCACTTACCTCTTTACGCTGTCACCTTTAATATGTGTATGAAGCAGAAAAGCCATATGTTGTCTTAGAGAAAGGAGGGTTGAGAGGAGCTGAGTTGAGGAGCTGGTTTTCAAGAGAGAGGGGGAAGGTACTCATCAGTTTGTTTTAAATCTTCCAAACAGAAATGACAGGAGGATCATGGAGCATCCATATATCTAATTTTGGAGGAGGGAGACATGGAAATGAGCATTTCTGAGCACTGACAGATATTTCAGTTATTTTTGGTATAATGAAGGAATGTAGACTCTGCAAAACTGCTGTTAAGGGCACACTGTTTAGCAAAGCTTCAAGTGTTTAAAACATGATTTGCATTTTGCTTTTAATTCCCAAGGTACTCATGTTTTTCCACATTTGATAGTGTAAATTAAGAATGCTCACATCTGAGGAAGGGGGAAGAAGATGGGAATCTGGAAAAGTTTATGATAGTTTAAGATTATTTAAGTGTAGGATAACTTAAAGGTTGAAGATAATTTAAGCACCTGTGAAGAGAGCTTGTGGGTTTAAAGGTAGCTTGGTCACGCTAACCGTGAAGAGGTATTTACAGGGGAATGTAGAGGAGATTTGCTAGCTCCCATGTGTTGCTCACAGGTACTTTCACAGAGGCATGTCCAGAGAAGACACTGGTGTGAGACCATGCAGACTTCCAGGAGGGTCTCCCAGGCAAGAGCAGGCAGCTAATCGTTTTGTCTGCTTTGCCAGACAGCCCACAGGGTGCTCAGGAAGAAGCAGGACAAGCAAGGAAAAATCTCTGGAGATGGTCGGCACCTGGAAAGACCCTGGAAGATGTGGTAGTTTGTGCGAAATCAAGGAGGCGGAGATGACCCTAAAAGCTATTCTGCTGTAAAGGCCATGCTTGAAATTCAAGACAGGGGAGCTGAGGGGTGTTTGTGTGGCCGGAGGTGGTGGGAAGGCAGCTGACGAGCGTCTGCAAACCTGAACTGCTTCTGCCACCTGGGAGGTGGGCCTTGGGCTAGGGAGGGGAGAGGCCTTATCCCAGGAGTCCCCTTGTCTCCTCTGGTGATGAAATGTGTTGTGCTGCTGTAGACTGTGGCGCGGTGATTGAGATACTAAGCTGCGATTAAATCTGTATTATTTTGTGAAAAGAGCATACTGGCCTATTTAAATTAATGCTTTGACCCATTTTGCTGTGCATATGATCTAGAAAGCTGTCTTGTCAAGAAGCCTTTCATCTGTGCGCTTCGTAAGCAGGCTAGGAAACAGAAGGTTTTTGAATAGGGGTGTATGTAGAGCTGCTGTCCAGGCAGAAGAGATGCATCTCTGCTCCTCTGCCTCTACCCCCAGCACCCAAGCTGCTGAGGGATCGTGCCAAAAGGACCAGAAGTTACAGCAACGATTCTGAGATTGACTCACAGTGCAACACAAGCTCTTCTGGATGATCAAGGGCATGTTTTAATCTGGCAGGGAAGACCAAATCATCCTGTTCCTGGCGGTCAGGGACATCTTGAAATGTTTGTTACCACACGAGGATCTCGGGACGTGCCCTGTGCTGATTTGCCTCGGTGCTCGGGGGTGGGCAGCGAGCTCGGCTGTGTCCGTGCTCCAGCAATCCCAACACCAGCTCTGGCTGCCGAGGCTCACGCGCTTCCCACCCACCACCTTTTCTATCTTCCTTTCTGCTCCTCTTCAGCAAATGAGCTGCTCTGCCAGCTTACTAGGTGTAGTTTCCAGTCACACCACCACAATGAGCAGCAAGATGAGACAAAATTATAAGGTAATTATACATTACCTTGGGGAATCAGCTGCAATTGGGAATACAACCAAGGGACTACCGATTGTGACTCCAGTTGCTACCCCAGCTCAAATGCTGAGCTGCTTCACCTTTTCATTATGAGACTCAAATGCCTTTAACTGTTTCAGGTTTGGATGAATTGTAGCTATTCTGTCATTTACTGATGCTTGTCAAATGTAGAACTGGAACCTGCACCAGCTGAAGGTGTCTTTTTTGGTTGTCATGATCATCACTGGGGAAAAATAGAGCTCTCTTGCCCAGGCTGTGCTATTGCTGACTGCTGTGTAGTCTAGCAGCCTCTCTCCATCTTGAGCAGACAGGTAGCACCTTTCCTGTTAGGAAAATGTGCCCTAACTCTGAGCAGCTGTGTAATGACATAATCACCCTCCTAACTACTTCAGATGAGGAGGTAAATTTATTACATATAAGAATGTACATTGAACTTCCCATAAATGAAAACTGGTAAATGTTCAAGTGAAAAAGGCATGGTATGTCTGAAGTTTCAAGGACAAAGTCTGTCTTTTCTGGATCATATAACATGATGATAATAGACTCGATTAACAATTCTGTTAATGAGTCATGGGCCATAAGAAAATCCAGCTGGCTGACTCACACTCTGCATTTAAAGCTGTTATGATGCTGGTAGCACTGGAAAGCAAATGGATGTCACTGAAACAAGCTGGTATGACGCTGAATACCACAAGGAAGTTGAGTCATTTTGTATTTAGTCTTAAAAAAAATTCAGCTTATTTTTTTGTTTAAAAGTCTTACCATGCTAAACTGTATTAAGAAATTCAGAATTGTTGACATATGCATTTTTTGTAGCAAAAAAAAATATCCTGCCACACAAACTTTCAAGAAAGCAAATAATGGCAGTTTTCTTCCAAAAATACCAAAAAACACGAGGTATTTGTGTCCTTCAGGCCACGTATTCCCTTTTCTGGGAATGCGAGGATGAAAAAAAGAGCATCATGTAATTTTATTTCAGGAAATACTTTGGATGCGTGCCAATATAACTTTCCACCTTTTCTCAGAATATCTAAAGCCATGGGGAGTTACGTGACTGCTGGAGATATCAGTAATGCTGGCAGGGTAGTTTTGCTTCGAGGGGAAAATTTGTGTGTTTCGAGACTACATTTTCCTGGAGATGTTGGGTGAGCTGTGTGGAGGCTGCCTGAATTTTAGTCATTCCTGGTAGTATATCACTGGCAAATGAACTGAGGAAGTATATTTTGTATTGAAATTACAGCCAGAACAAGGGGAAGCTATTGTGGGTGTTGTCATTAACTGTGCAATATTGGGCACAATAATTATTTAGATTTTCCTTGTCTCAAGGTCCCCATTGTAAAGGTAAGGTTTTAATATTAGCTATTCTACAGGTGGAAATCAATGAGAAAATGCTTGCAAAATTCAAATGATAGCCCTGTTTTCAGCCTAAGGTTTCAATGGTGGGAAGAAAAGCTCTCTGGTTTACTTTTAAAGTTAGTTGAACAAATTATCAGTTTAGGAAAAAGTTCTGCATGTTTGAAAAGGGGAAGAAAAAAAAAACCCTTCATGCCTGTCATTAATCCCAAGCAGATCCTAAAACACAGATCTTAAGACACTGCATAGGCTTGGCAAGCTGATGGTTGTATGGAAGGAAAAGCTGTTCTTTGTCGTTCCTTCTGTCCTCTCAAGTACTTGATTTTTATTTTATCTTGTTAGATGACTCCTAAATCAAAAAGGAAAAGCATCCACAGTAGAATGCTTCGGCCTGTGTCTAGAGCTTTTGGTAAGTGAGATAAATTTGTTAAGTACTCTTTGCTATGTTTGGATTTTTTTGGTGACTTCTTTGTTTGAAAGCACAGAAGACTTTCGTTTGCTCAACACTGCACTTGAGGCCCAAATGGCTTGCTTTGTGTTGGGAATCTTCGTGTGTTGGGCAGTGAATTTTTGCTCACTCTCTGAATGGGCACTCTGAGCCCATTTGCTGAAAGTGCTTGTAATGATTTACAGCAAAAACGAGGAATGGCATTGCCTTTTGTTTTAAACAGCATTATTAAGTCTAATTAGAAAGTTTTGATTTCTCTTAGAAATGGAATTTGATCTAGATAAAGCACTGGAAGAAGTACCTATCCATATAGAAGACCCACCATTTCCTTCCAGCAGGCCAGACAAGAGAACTTCTGGATTCATTTCAGAGCTGCCATCAGAAGAAGGGAGAAAACTAGAACACTTTACAAAATTAAGGCCCAAAAGGAATAAAAAGCAGCAGCCCAGCCAAGCAGCAGTGAGTCTATATTAAAATATTGGTGGTGGTGTCGTCTTTTGGTTGCTTTTTGCCATTGCTTGCAAAGTTATGCGGATGAATGTTAAAAGCTAAAAGCGTTATCTTAATTCTTCTGCTAGTATTCATGTCTTTCAGTGTGTAACCCTTCCTTACAAGTATTTTGTCTTGTCTGATGCAGCCTAAACCAAGGATATGTTTTATTCTTTGTTTTGCTGCTTCTGTTTTTTAATGGAGGCAGTTTCTGGAGGTATGTGGAGCTTTCAGAGAGAACTAATAAAATATCACGAAATTTCTCAATTACATTTCAAGGCCTTGTAACAATTTAATCCTGTTTTTCTGCCTGCATTAAGACTTGGTAACTTGGCATGAATTCCTGTTTTTGCCAGCTCTCAGAGGAGCTGCTTGGTGACACCCAGCTTCCCACAACTCCATAAGCAAAGATGCAGTTTGGGCCAGCAAATCTGCGTGGACACAGATCTGCTTTTCATGCCAGAACCTGCCTTAGAAAAGCAAAACAGAGCTCTGTCTGTCTACAGAAAGTGCTGGTGTGAATCCAAGTATACATGTGTGGGGTTTCCATGGCTCCATTTCCTTGGTATCCCACGTTAATAAAGGTTTATTTCTGCAAAGATATAACTATAGGGAATGTAAGGACAAATGCAGAGGACTTACAAGGATGTCTTTTATTAACAGAACAGAACTAATACGATAAATACCCCTTACCAAGGGGCAGCCTTTGCTGCTCTGAATCATGCTGTCCAAAAATGAATTCCTTTGGCCTTTTCCACTGCCTTAGGACTGTCACAGGAGAGGACCCTTGATTTTTCCTGATGCTGGCAAACATACATGAGGAAGTAGAGTGTTCTTTGCATCACCCAGTTATTGAGGAGACTTTCAAGTAGATGGGGTATTCAAGCCAACTTATTCCCTTGCACTAACAGAGAGACGCGGAGGTATCAGAAGAACCTGATCTTCACATCCATGTACACTCTTCCAATGTGCAGAACCTTTTGTGTTTCCCCTGCTGCTAAACCTGCCTCTCGTCTCAGCGTGCTTAGTGCACCCTGTGCCACCTACGTAAAGCTGGGGAAGTTGGAGGGTGTTGGGAGGGGGGAAAAGAAAGCATGGAATGGGAACATAAATATAAAATGGAGTCTCAGTTCTACTGATGACATCGTTTTTTGGCTAAAAAGGTGACTGTTCACACTGAAACCGTGAGCACTGATGTTGAGCAACAGGTGTCAATGTATGAATTCAGAGGTTCTAGTAAAGTTAAATTTTTGGAGGGGAGAGAGAAAAAAAGGCAAAAGTCTGGGAAGTTTGGGCTTCTTAGTATAAAATTATTTTTCACAGAAAATGTGCAATTTGACTGGCACCACTTGTTTCTTTTTTTTTTTTAAAAAAAACAGGTAATTTCACTTTTCAGACTGGTATTACATTGTTACAGCAGGTATCAATAGTACTATTCATTATTAGCTGTGATAATAAAGTAAATAGTAAGAAAAGTTTCATAAATGCATCAAAATATTTCATGTCTGGCTTAATGAAGCTAGATTTAATGTTGATAGTGACTTTTAAGAGTACTTATTCTGTTTTTTAGAACAGAATTTATGTTCCAGCTGAAAAGAGAAGCTAGGGTTATTCTGAATTATGGAAACTACCACAACATTCCTTGACTGAAATTCTTTCAAAATTATGAAACCCTGCTATTTTGATTCCTGGTCATTAGTATTGCCAAGAATATACTGGGCCGGGTCTTGTGGAGTCCTCCGTAGTCACCTAAAAGGTTTTTATACAGCCTTTGAGCTGAAGGAATTCTCTTTGCTAGTAACAGAGCTTTTCCACCTCAGAGGCACATGCAGGAACCTGTGTTTCATCTTCAGGAGGAGTTGCCAGCTAATATTTACCACGCTTTCGTGCCTGGCAGGCATTACTAACTCAGCCTGATTTTAGTCACCCACTTTCAGAATGTAGACACTGAAACCAAGGAAAAGGAACAGGTTTTTAGTTTTTGGACACTCTGTGAAAGTCTATGTTTGCTTCCTCAAGATAAACACCTTCTTCTATATTTGCACTCCTTTTTTTTTGGCTGGATTGAACAAATTATAAAAAGGCTCTGTTAGCTCAGTTTCTAAATCTGTAAATCCAGAATATATGTTTCTCTGTGAACAGGGGAACAAGAGCTGTCAAAAATACTTTCTCCAGAAGTGTCCACTCTAAATGCATGCATTAGAACCTGACTGTTTTCTTAACTTCTTTTCTAAGTGCTCTGCTCTCCCTAGCCCATGGCCTCCGATTGCAGGCCTCACACATTGCAGCGTACAGTTTGTCAGTGGCACTGGGGGTTACCTTCTGTGTGCAAGCTACAGCACCTCATGCCTGGCCTGAGTAAAGGGAGAATTTCAGCAGTGATTCCACAGTCTGCACTGAAATTTGTTTTGCTTGCACAGCTCCTAACTCCTAATTACTGTCATTAAGCAAGTATGCTTAGATTATTATATACGAGAGAAAGTTTTTCTTCTGTCAGGTGTCTGCTGGAATGTCTCAAGACGGAGAACAGAATGGCCTCATGGGGAGAGTGGATGAAGGTGTGGATGAATTTTTCACCAAGAAAGTGACAAAAATGGATTCAAAGTAAGTTTAAATGTAAAAATTAAATGAAATCAAAAAATATCCATCCTCATAGCTAGACAAGTAGCATTTTTAAGTTTTTGTTGAATTCTGTTCCAAAATCCAGGATGGCTGTTGTCAAAGTTGGAAATTACCTTTGGAAGACTAGGATGCTCTGAATTTGACTACCTTCCCTTAAAATGACGGTTTTGAAATAAATTGTTTTAATCAATCATGTGGAACAGATTATTGGCTAGTGAATATCTTTATAATTCACTTGACCTAGTGAATATTTTTATAATTCAGTTGACTTCGTACCAGCCTTCACTACAGCTCATTAGTGCTAAAGCAGAACTGTAATCAGTTTTTACTTCAGTTTTTACTATCACATTCTGATAAGAGGCAATAGATTTATGTTGATGTAGAAATTCTTGTTAAAGACTTGTTTGACAAATGTGAAGTGCTTCAGATTTCAGCAGTATGTTTGTATGAAAGATATGTGTTTCCTTCAGCTTTGTATACGGAGAGAAACAGCTAATCGTTTGGTAGGTAGTGGTGTACTTAGTACCTAGATATTCTTGCACTAGTGCAGGTTTGCATGTGCAAATATATTTATATAAAAGTGTATATATATATAATATATATATATATGTGTTTATAGGGTTTTTTTTAATATATAATAATCAAGAAAGCTAGAACAAATTCCAGACAACTTATAACCTCTTCTGTGCTCTGTGTGACATCCATTAAGTAAAATGGTAGGTGTTAACTGATAAATAACTGTGGCAGGAAAAGAAATGTCTTAAAGTCAGTATGAGTGATAAATATCCATGGTGACATGTGAAGCCATGTGTGATACACATCTGATGATAAGATCACCTAGCTTTGAAAAACGGATTAGCAAGCTTAAGGTCATACAGTTAGCATACTACCCCCATTGGAGGCCTGCTGGCCACCCAGTTGATGTCCCTGTGAGCTTGCATGTGTCCCTGTCTGTGCAACCCTGGCCACGTGCATGACTCAGGGTCTTTGTCCCTATTAGTTGTCCTCAGTTGTTCCACTGGGGACTCTTTCTGGTTGGGATGCTCATAGGCAGACTTGTTGTGTCCTCTGCTCTCCCCTCAAGCGTGGATACTCTACTTGTAAGCTGAGTATAGAAAAGGTTTACTGGTGATAACTTTCTGAGGACAAGGTAGTAACTTTAAAGGTGACCCTGTTAGCTCTCTTAGTAAGAGAAGGCGACTGAGCCAACAAATTCCTTGTTGATGCCCCTACAGGATGACATCTCCAAATCTGTGCAAGTCACATACTTGATCAGAGTTATCCTGCCTCTAACAGTGGGCAGAACAAAACAGAAAAAGCAATCTGAAATCATATGTGCATCGGCAGAACTACCCTGAAGCAACATGTAGCTGTTGTTGGAAGCAGCCAGGTGCCCAGTGCAGCTGAAATAACTGCCTGTTGTCACTGCAGCATGCCAGCATGGTGGTCCTCAGACACTGTGATCCGTGCCAATAGTCCTGCTCTTAATTTAGAGATGCCAGCTAATGAGTGGGCCTCACGTGATATACGGGTGATACAAAAGGTTAGCTTTGCCCAAAATAAGTTTTCTGAAACTATTTAAAGTAGAGGGAAGAGGGCAAGAAAAAGGAGCTTAAAATGTCTCTGTCTTTTATTAGGAGACCATCAACAAAAAGTTCAGACAGCAGTGAGCCCAGTGAAGCAGGTGAAGAGAAGAAGAAAAGGGATTCCAGGAAGAGTGGCTTTCTTAACTTAATCAAATCACGAGGCTCCAAATCTGAACGTCCTCAGACTGTTTTGGTGTCAGAGGAGCCCTCCTCACCCAAGGCTGCTGCAAAAGGTTCAGCTGTGGACGCAAGTAAGAAGGAGGCCAAACCTGCAGAGCAGAATGGTGGTTCAGAGCGGTCTGAGGAGCTAAAGACGCCAGACTCAATCGAGGAGGTACAGCCAGATGATGCTGTGAAGGCCGAGAGAGGTGACAGCAAAGGAAGCCCACAAGGGGGTCGGAGGTACGGCGTGCAGGTGATGGGCAGCGGCCTGCTGGCAGAAATGAAAGCCAAACAGGAGAAGAGAGCAGCCTCTGCCCAGAAGGTGAAGGCAATTTGTTTGATTTCTCAAGAGTTGTTGTGCAAAGTGAGCGAGAGCTAGACCATTTCATGGGAGGGAGTAGGAGGGCTGGTGGTTGGCACTTGAGTCCTGCTTTCCATCAGGGATTATAGTGTCACTGCAGGAGAAATGTTCTGTACTGTGGTGATCAAACATGAGCATCCTGGCCAAGGACTGGGCCGCACACGTGGAGATGTGCCCCAGACCTGCATTTTCTCCTCATGTGGAGCAGGTGACATCACTTCTGCTTGATGTCAGGCCAATGCAGGCGTAAAAAAAGACCTATCATAGTTCCCATGTGTTACAGAGCAACTTCTGTCCCACTAGCAAGCATAATTTGGGTATCTCCGTGCTAACTGATGTGTGATCTGTTCACTTTTAATATTAGCATGTTTAGCAGAAATTAAAGCTAGGAAAGACCTCTTACTGTGTGTCCCCTGCACACTCATCCTTCAGGGGTCTGACAGTTAACTGGATTGACTAATGTCTACACTGCTCTCTTGTGGAAGGTGATGTAGCAAATTCGAGAGATATGGTGTGTTCTGTGTTTAAAATTATATATCCCATGCAGAAAAGTAAATTTGGCTTCCTAATACCATCTACATACATTCTCCTTATGGTTTTCTTTACTGCACTCCTTTATTTCTCTGCTTTTTTGCATCCTACGTAGATGCGAATCATTCTTGTGCCTTTGTTGTATTTATATGAACATTAGCACTCAAAGAAATCAGCTATACGTTAAAAAAAAAAGTTGCACGTTTTCTGTTCATATTCCTTTCCCTGTCCTTTTTTTTCCCCTTGTGAGATGATAACACTGAGGAAGAATCCTGCTCCAGGCACTTAACATAAGTAGGGGTATCCATGTGCTGCTCCAAATCATTTGCTCTCAAACCGTTTCATTTGATATTTATTTTCTCTCCTGAACTTTACCATCCTATGCGCCCCCTCCCTCCCGACTGTAGTTAGCATATCCTAAAATTGCCAAAAAATTGGCCTTTTTTTCATTCCTCTTCTTCAGCATGCAGGTTGCTCAGATGCTGTCCGTTCTCTGCCATTACCAGCCATCATTTGGAAGATGTTATCTTACAACAGAGATCATCTACATGCTTTCCCATGTATTTTTCTTCCTTTAATACATTGCACAATTGTCTTGCTGTGACCGAACAAGCCACTCAGGTGTCATTTTTGCCTTTTCTATGTTTTTATAATGCCAGATGTGATGTTTGAACTGTTGTTGCAAACACTGGAGTCTTATAAGAGGCAGATTGAAATTAACCCTGTAGTCCACTATTAAAGGGTCACTCAGGTTAAAAGTATTTTTTCTGAAGAAATGGCCAGTTCACACCTTTCTGATTGCAGTTGAACAGTGCCAGGAATAGTCTCACTCATTTCCAAGAGGGCAGCTTTTCAATCAATATGCTATATTGTGAAGGAGAGCATTACAGTCTGCCTGTAACTAAAGAAATATTGAGTTACTCCAGATAACATAAATATTTACAGTTATATAAAATGTGTGTGCTTGGTGCTCTGCACAATGCCCAACTTTTGCTTAGTATTTGTGATCTACAATCAGTCAGGTCTGCAGTAATGTGTTTGAGGGTTTTTTTGTTTGTTTGTTTTTTAAGTGGGGAGAGTAAAAGACCGTACCCCATTTAGCTGATTAGCTTTCATAGCCTTGATTGAAAACCTGAATTTCATCCATTAAAAAAGAGATTACGGCCTTTTTCCAGTATCGTCCAGGAGATGCTTTCCATGATGTTTTTCATCTTTTTTTTTCCAACTGGAAATTAAGTTACCTGTTTCCTTTCAGATTTATTACTAGTCTCTCTTGTTAGTATATAAGCATGGTGAGAAGAAGCTATGAAGTTAATACTCATTTTGAAATTTAAAAAATATAGTTTTTTTATTAAGCTTTGCAAAAGCTGATATTTATGGAATGCAAAAATATGTTGTGCTTTTTTTTTTAAAGAAAAACACGTGACAAGAAAACAGAATTGGAATAGGAGTCTGTACACAGAAGTGTACGCAGAGTTCTTCGGTTTTAATGTCGTTTACACTGCACAAAATTGAACTGCTGGTCAAAAACGAATTTCCTCCTGCCTTGTCCTGGTTTGCCACATTGAACAGTTTAGTTTTGTGTTTTTCTTGATCATATTCTTGATGTCGAGTATGTGAGTAATTCAGTATCCTGTGGGTGAGCTGCAGAAGGCAGCACCCCACTGCTCATATATTGTTTAGGAGGGGTATGGTGCCAACACCCCTAGTATCTTCAAATTTTATCAGGATCCTACTAGGATAGAAAAAAACATATATTTTCCTTCAAGGTACAGATGGCTGCTTAGATTCTGAGCTATTTTACATGAAAACAAAGCCAGAAGGAATTTACTATTTCATTCATACCCTACCGCAGTCTTGTTAGAGACGCAAGTGAGGAGCAGGTGCACTGTACATGGAAAGATGGTAAATCTTTTTTTTGTTTTCTTTTGCTTAGAAAACGACTTGTGAATTGGCAATAATGGTGCAGACAAACACATGGATTAGTATTTTCTCTCAGCAAACGTGCAGATCTTTTAGCTCCATCTAGTGTTTACAAACTGGGTTTTTAAATACCTTCAGCAAGGCTCATTTGTAGCCATTGATTCGTGCCAGATTGCACCCAACTGCAAGATTTCCCCGATTTGCACATTACATTTAAAAGTAGATCCCAAATTATCTGCATGATGTAATTGGAATGTAGTGGGCAATATCTTCATATTTACATATTGACATTTTACATTATTGAAATTAGTATTTTGCTGAAAGTTCATGTGAATTCACATTCCATAAGGAAATCATTGGTAAAATCTGTTCTCAAAGTTATTTTTGCCAAGGCGTGAAAGAAAAATCTGAAAAGTGGAGAGCAGTTTAAAAAACAAAAATAATAAAAGGCTTTAGGAGGTGGAGAGGTGAGAATTTAGCCAAAATGCCAGTACCAGGTGAGAAGCAGGAGTCTCTGCCCACTGGTGCAAAACATAGCACTGCTGCTAGCTTGGGAGGTGGGGGGAATGTCTTGTTTTTAATGGCAGAGGAGTTTACAACTGTAGCTGTTCAAAGCTTTGCATTTCTAGAAGGGGCTGCACACAGCTTTTGACCAAGGAGAAAAATATTGTTTTGCCTACAGGTGGGTTTTTTTTACAGAGAGTTTCATACTTAAAAACTACAGAAGCAGAATCCCTTTAAATTATACAGTTACAGTAGTATCAGGGTAATTTTACAGCACAAGAAGTTGGATGTTTATTCTAATACGGCCCTCCTTAGGGTGCTCTCCAATCCTCAGAGGAGGTGCAGGGAGGCAGTTGCCCTGTCAGGCCGCACACAGGGACAGCGGATGTTCGGCAGCTCCGTTCTTTTCCTTACTCTGAAAAAGAGACACTTCATTCCTTTATGGTAATCCTTACAGTTCCATTTTCCCTATAAATCTGTCACTATTTTAGATAATGTGTGCTCCTCCTACTGGCGCCATTCTCTTGCTTCCTGCCATCTCCTGTCTGTCTGGTGTTTGGGCTGGTGAGCCCCAAAGGGCAGCGCTCCTGTTTGGCACGCGCTGCATGGCACAAAGACTTGTTTGTTTGTTTGTTCGTTGTACCTTAAACAGGATTTGTTCAAATATGGAACCGTCCTTGAAGAAGAGGCAATTTTCAACTTGAACCTTTAATTTAGGCTCCTGCACATTGGCAGGGCTGTCACAGGAGACAGGGTGTCACTGCAGCCCTGCTAGACACATGGCAGCGTTAGTCACCAAATCAGTGCGGTTTTCTTCACGCTTACATTCCCAAGACACGAAAGAAGAATGAGGAAGTGCATCCAGCCTTCATTACCAGCACAGCTTTCTCTGCCTTCTGGTTTCTGAATTAGAGCTTTTTCACTAACAGAAGCACCGAGTCGCATTAGTTACAGATTGTTAATGTGAGGGCTTTTCTCACTCTTTCAGAAACTTGGGAATGACATAACTCCCAGAGACTCTTGTGACACAGCGGTGAGCTCCGAACGACTGGATGGAAGTGGTACAGGTACAGCTGCTTGGTTTCCTGTATAAACTCCCTCTAGAAAATGCAACATGCCTGACTTCAAAATTACACTTTCCCTTGCAAATTTTGTGCTTATGATTTCTTAAGCAAAACATGAGCTTACGCTAGGTGAAAAGGATTAGGAACAAGTGCTCCTTCTCATGCATTTGACAGCGCTTCTCATTTAGTTAGTTCTGGGGCCAAGTTGATGGCTGGTTGCTCTGCGTTGCGGAGGAGGGCAAGTGCTTGATGCAAGTGCCTGCGGCTGCCCCAAAAGGGTGCTGCATTGTAGCAGAGTCAGCAGAGCTGCAGATGGACCCAGGAGCCAGCAAAGCCGCCTACACAGAAAGAAGTGAGATTCCTGAATATTGCTGAAGAGCTAAAAATTTGCAAGGTTCATAGCAGCCCATACAGATACCAGCCTGGCTGTCAGCTATTAGAATAGGCATATCAGACATGGCACAGAGGATTGCCAGAATGTACAGAAACCAGTCTGAAAAACAAGGCTCAAATCTAAGTGCAAATGGGTGCATCTTGGTTAAGGAGTCACTTCAGAAATCCATTTTGAGTTTTTAAAACCTTAAACCAAACAGTGATTTAAAAGGCAGCATGCAGAGAATCCATTGAAGCAAACGCTGTTAATCAGCCCTTTTAAATTAGCCCACTAATCCGTGTGCTATAATATATATAGCTCCTAATAATGTCAGCCCGAAGTCAAAGTAGCTAAAAGAGTATATGCTGTGAGCGTTAGAGTGAGTAGCTGTGGGTGTCTGATCCCAGTTTTGATCCGGTCCTTTTCACCGAGTACGACGCATTTCACCCCTACCTTCCTGCAGTTTGTGCCCCACTTCTTTCTGGCTTGCAGCTGTCAAAGGGTTTTTTTACCACCATTGCTTGAGAGCTCCCTCAGGCTGCACTTTGCTGTTGTGACTACAATTTGTCTTTGTTTTGGGTTAATTTATTTTTACTTACCGTCTTCTAATAACATTAACAGACCTGAGGTTAGGAAGGCCAGAAAGTTAATGGAAAATTACTGGATGTTGCTAGAAAACTGTAGATAGCTTTTCTGAGGAAGAATAAGGTTGTGTGTGTGTGGGGGGGGGGGGTTTGGTTTTTTTTTTGATGTGTGTTTGTTTGTTTTAATCCTTTGCTTTATGTCTGGATATTGCCTGCTATTTTGTATGTGTGTGTGACTGTGCTCACACACACACATGTTCACACACACACGCAGAGGTGCGGAACGCAACCTGCTGTTTTGCCTGCGGTGCAAAATTTTACTGCATGCACACAGGCACAGTTTCTGCCTCTTATCTTCTTGCACAAATACATATGTGCCACATACTGTTTTATGGTTAGCTAGAGTTTAACTCCAGTTCAGCTGCCACTCACATTGCACTTAAAATGCTCAGCACTCTTGCCAGAAGTTCAATTTCTGCATGGGAATGACAAGCAGGTCGGTCAAGTCAGCATTTGTGAGCATGTAACTTGGCTTTGCCAGGTACAAAGGCAACCAACCTGTGTTTTAGTGAGCCTAGGATTCTGCACAGAGAATAAAGACTCAGTGGTTGAAGTCCCAAACTTGTGTACCAGTTCAAACATGTCCTACCTGCTGCATATAAGCTTTCATCCTTCTCTAGGCTGTAAAGTAGGAAAGTAGGGCAGACAGTTTGCTGTTTGCAACCTAGCATCCAACAGCCATGGAGTTCAGTGTCCTTAATGAATAGATGCTTCTGCTGCAGTGATTTTGTGTGTGAAATAACAGGAGTTCCCTTATCACTGCTCTACTGCTCTGTGTGTGTGTGTGTGCATGGACTGATGATGAAACTTTTCCATGTACGTAGCCGTATAGTGCGTCTTCTCCATTGCAGGGTGTTGTGTTACATATATTCATTTATTTTAGTGCCTAAACTCCAGCAGACTCTTCCAGAGAATCGGTTCACCCCAAGTAAAGGTGACTCCATCTCAGCATCATCAGAAAAAAATGCAAAAGCTGAACCAAAGGCAGAAGCTGGCACAAAGGCAAGAGGTTCTTCCAATGCTCCTACCAGCCCCAAGCCCCCTCTGCAGCCCTCCAAGCCCAGCCTGGCGGCACGGCCCACGCTCCCGCAGAAACCCCGTTCTGCCTCTCGCACTGGTGAGCAGCTCTTGGGGGCTTTGCTTCTCCTTGGCAGGGTCCTTTTGGAGCTGATCCTCTGGGTTGTGAAGGAGAGACCCACGGCCCAGCCCTGAACAGAAGTTAAGTGTGAAGGGGGACAGGTTCTTCACTCACTTGCTCCTGACTTTATTCCTTTGTAGATCCTTCTGCCCCAGTTCAAACACACTGATGAGAATGATCTAATTAGTGATTTAAAAGCAATTTCCTTATCACTTTGTTATTGGAAATATTAATAATTGTGCTTTTACAACCCTGCAAGGCTACCAGTGGAATGAGTACTACCTTCTGCTATGCCCTTTCCTCCTGCCCAGGTGTTATCTCAAGATATCTGCTAGTTCAAAGGGTTTCAGCAGCTCTGTATGTGGGCCTGCCCATTACTTAATTGGACATTGTCAGAACTCCCTCTTTCTATTATATGTGTGCCTCTGTAGTATAGCCATTACAACTGAAAAAAGTATATAAGTTACTTACAGACTCCTTTATGGTGCTATAGCAAATGTACAGCTTATTAATTGCTGTAATTCCCACTTGGACCTTAGAAAGATGACATTTAAGGAGGCAATTTACAGCCTATTCCCTACTGTTGATGTGTACCTGGGCATTACTTAGTCTGTCTGTGCACACTAGTGAGTCAAATGTCATTTTCGATTTCAAGTACAGAAGAACCTTCAGATTTTAGATGAGTTTATATTTTATCGGTCGTTTTAAAATGGCCATGAAAATAAGAGTGGCCTTGAGTAAGATGCCCCTGAAGATGAATACAATAGGAAAGTGTGGCCTATTTGATATTGTTTAATCTATAAAATAGATCATATGTGATCTCAAAATTTGATGTATCAGAAAGACCTGAGGTGTCTTTTTCTGCAGAGGAAACATACTGCAGGCTTAATATAGAGCGTAATTAGTATTTACTAGCAGTAGGCCAGCTGGCCAGGTAGTAGATGAAAGCAGCGCTGTCACTGCTGCAGTCTGACTCCTGTCCTAGGGCTTGTCCCAGCCTGCTGTCCAAGCACACCCGGGCACAGTGATAAGGGCAGGCAGTAGTGCTCCCGTCATGGTTTCCAATGGTGTGCCTGAATGAATGGTAGGAAACTTTTGCTAAGTAACCTGAGCACGAGGAATCACAACTCAGATGTCCTCACATTGTCAGACACCAAAAGTGGTTCCTCGGCATGAATTTTGGTTCAAAAACCTGTGGCTGTGTTCGCCAAGCACGATGCCTATGCTTATGTTGATACCAAGCTTTTGGTGTGCATGTAACGTGCGTGCTACTTGCACTGAGAAGGTCCTGAACACTAGTGTATCCGTTCAGACAGTTTGGAAGATTATCTCTTCCCTTTGCAGAATATAAAATGATTGACTCCCTTATGGTGGCCACTCAACAGTTAGATAAATTCCTGGTAATTTCCGGGTTACATTTGAGTTAACTATTAATTCTGCACTAAGAGGCCCAGATATTATGCAGCATGTATTAGTTTTCCTGAATCCCTCTCTTTTTTACCACAGATTCTGGGTGTTTCTTGTTTGTGCATTGTGTTGGGATTCCTTGCATTGTACAACCAACACTTCTGTGAGCTGCAGCAGAGGTATAACTTCTCCCCTTTTCACTTGTGGTACTCTACAGAGGATGCTCCAGAGTCTCCCTCTGGCCCTGGTTCTCCCAAAGTTGCCCTGCTTCCACCCGTGCTAAAGAAAGTTCCTTCTGATAAAGAAAAGGACGGTCAGAACAGCCCCACAATCAGATCATTTTCTCAAGAAGGTAAGACTATGAGCATAATGGTTGTTCCAACATGCTTGTCTGCTACCTGAAATCAGTGTGCCATAGTTCCCCAATTTCTTTGTTTTCATGTGGGAGGGAAGAAGGTAATTTATTTTGATGGAAAAAATAGCAAGGAAAAGGTAGCTGATCACCCCCCACCCCAGGTTGGTGTTCTTCTTTTCCTTTGATCACACCGTGTGACAGAAGATAAATCTCAAGTTATTGATATGGTGACTGTTTTACAGTGATAGTCATAACTGCCTAATTGTTATGAGATTCCTGTGTTATGTGAATTGTATTTTGGTTCAGCCCAGATCAAGAAGCTGTTTGGCATCGGCCGTACAGGCTCATGTTCAGTGCAGCTCGCTGGATCAGGAAATGTAGGGCAGCCGTGGAACAGCCGTGTCCTTGCTCACTGCAGCCCGCTTTTTGCCCTGTGTGCCCTCCTTTCGGTGGCATCGCTGCATGGGACCGCGCTCACCTCAGACTTGGCCAGCGCGTCCTCCTGTGCCAGGGCAGGCCTTGCTACCCTTGACACACAAGCTGCCTTCTCTTTGCTGCTTTTTGTGTGTGCTCTGAGTTCCTACTTTTGCTGATGCATTTTGTTGACCGTGGTTGTTTCTCAGAAGAGCTAAGGCTTCTTTCAAAAGTCTGGAATGTAAGAAGTAGTCACAGAAGTCTTGTTCAACATGGTATTAGCTGATGCAAATGGGAACTTTAGAAATGGTTTAGAAATCTGGTGGTGAGACCTCTTCCTTCCTTGGACCTGTCAGTACCTGAGGGGTGTCTGGCTGGCTGCAGGTATTTGGCTCTCAGTTCAGCCATCTGTTGGGCTGCTGTTGGGCTGCTGTTCGTTACAAAAGTACTTCAGCAGAACAAATACAGTCTCATTAAGTTTGTGTAAAGCTAGCAGGACATGGCACACCCAAGACTTCTGCAGCTGGAAGAAGCTGAGGATTTGGACAGACCATGCTGCCAAAAGCTGCAGCTATCTGTGGCTCATTTCCAGGGTCCTCTGATGGCACCAGCACTCAAGTGGTTCCTGGCAGCTCTGTCATTAGACAGCAAGGCAGAGCAGGGTTTTTCTCCTGCTTTTAGTCCTATCAGGATCTCCCCTGAGACAGGTTAACAGGGCCACAGTTTGGGGACCGGGCGCACCAAACCCTCAGTGCCATCATGTTGAGAATGGAGACCATCAAAGGCTGTTGGCCCAACAGACTCATCCAATTGCTGCCTAGCAAATACTTAAGCTGCTTGTTTTTTGGCCAGCTTTTCATCAGACTGAGAGAGATAGCTTTTTACTTAAGGGTATGCAATATCATGGGGACTTGTTAAGGTTGTGTTTTAACATGGGGTTAATCTCATACTTCTTATGCTACATCACTTCTCCATCTCCCTGTCATGAGAGGAGGCATAAAAGAGAAGCAGGGAATATGGGATCATTACCACGATCCTTCTGTATTACAGCAGTCTCCAGTACACAGGAGGGATTTGACAGTTTTTTCCAGTTGGCTATAGTCAAATGAGGAGAGACACAATTAGTTCATCTTTTTAAAAGTCTGCTCTTTGCAAATCCTTATACAAAAAAGGGGTCGGATCCTGTGCTTTCCTTCTTCCTCGCTCCCTTAGTCCTTGCCTTGGCCAAATGCATGGTTTATTAATTGTTGCTGTGTTGCACTTAAAGCTTGGAATGTCAGAAATTTGGTTTCTGGGCCTTTAAGGAGCTGCTGTCATTTGCATAATGTTGCTCAGAAATATATTCTGTTCAATATCTGGGTTTTTTTTTTTGGTGGTGGTGGTGGTGGTGGTTTAGTTATCAAGTTGTCCTTTTCATTTATTGCTGCTCTACTTCTTCATTCACACGTTCCTCTTCCCTTGCTTTGTGCTTCCTTTCAGACCAGCATGCTCAATTTATTTCTGCAACTGGTAAATCACTGCAAATCTGCCTAAGCTGTTGATTAGTAAACCTGATTATATTTACTGCAGTGAACTTTGCAAATTAGAAGATACTTGATTATAGAATTGCTTTATGTTAAGGAGTATAACTGCAGTATGTGGCGCAACCTCAAAAGACACCGCTCCACACACCTGCCTGTAAGACTAGGCTGCACATACCAACATAGGCACATGTGCAGGCTGAATTTAAGCAAGCATCTAGCATATTGACTTTTTGAACAGTTGGGTGGGGTGGATAAATAAAATTATTTGCACTATTTACTGCTTTTCAAATGTGGGCCTACAGAACAGTTCAGGGGTATAAATGAATCCTTTTCCCTGCTAGAACAAACAGGAGATTGTCCAAAAAGAGACTCAGATCATGACTGTGACATGCCATCTGGCGCAGTGAAAACCGCTTCGGGGCAGTGTGCTGCCAGTGCAGAAGAGGAAGCTCATGTGCTTGGGCAGAGGAAGGCACAGCCAACTCCTGGTTAGAAGTTTCCCTTTTCATTTCTCATTGCGAGCGCTCGACAACTGGCACTAACGATCACTGAGACGCAGCAGTAGCAAGGAAGCCACAAGAGGGGGCTGGCTTTATGAGAGAGGTGAAGATTCTGAGGGACATCAATCATCTCTGTCTAGCCCATGACAAATTTGTGACTTGAAAAGCTTTGCAAATCACCGTGTGTTTGTGTTGTTCCTTGGTGCCAGCGCCGCTGGCCAGTGGTGAGTAGCACTTGGGACCCTCTGGCCCAGAGGGCTGTGTAAGTGCAAACCATTACTCGTTATAAGCCGTTAGAGCTCCTTATGGTAACCGTGGCACATTGCCGTGCAAGTAGGCTCCAGGTGGACTCTGACACTTCATGTGCTTATCTGCCTTTTTAAGATGTGTGCACTGAAGTGCTACAAGACATTTCGGTTTGAATGTTGTTAGTGCCAGTTTCAGTGCATCGCTTATACAGTCATTTGAGAACTGGATAAATCAGCATATTTTGACATAGTGCTTTGCTCTTAAGCTCACATAAGCAAAAACCAAAAACAAACAAATATAAAAAACAGAACTTTGGAGATCCCACCACATGCCTAAGCTGCTCTTCTCGAAGAGCAGCTTTGACTTATGGTGAACTCAATAAACTGTATGAACATTTGTTTGAAACATGTTTTTCAAATACAGAAGAATCCTGTTCTCAAAATGGTACGTTTACGTGCTCCTCTTTATCTCTTAACTAGTTTGTTTAAACAGTGACTCAAAATTGCTTTTTTCTTTTTCTGAAATATATTGATGATATATTTGAACATCCTATGCAATTACATGTACCCGCAGTTTTCCTGTTTCTGATAGATTGTGGATCCTTTCTGTAGGTTTCCATCATCTGTACCATTTGCTCATGGAAAAGGAAAGAAACATCCCACTTGCCCCTTCCTATGCCCAGCCCCAAATGTGTAAAACGATTTTCTTTTCATGTTGCAGAATCAGCCTTAGCGCACCCAGATTTCAATTCTCTCCTCACCGTCATAATCAGGTTGTTACGTATTAGCTCATTCTAAGGTGTCCTTACAGTCAGTTGCAAAAGCTGCGGTGCTGCAGTCGGCTCTGTGCAGAAGTTACCCTTGAGTGTGGTTTTACCCTTGTGTGCGGAGGCAGCACAGAGCAAGGCTGAGCTGCTTTGCAGGCGGTGGGTTTAGGCACACGCGGTGCTGCGCCGCGGTGCCTCTCAGGTGCCTCTCGGTGAGCGCCGCGGCTCCGTGCGCGGCGGCCTGGACGCGGCCGCGGCGCTTCCCAGCTGCGCCGGCCACCGTCGCCCTGCGCACGATGCGGCGGAGCCAAAGCCGGGCTCGAAAAGGGAGGTGCAAAACTGCCGTGTTTGGTTTGGAGTGGAGGAAAGGAGTGACTTCCAACACGGTCACTTGGGTTTAAAGGTTGGTTCTGTTTGGAGGCGGCGGATTTCTGAGGCTGTCAGTCCTCGCCTATCTTCGCTGCCCTTGAAGAGGATGAAAACCTCTCCAGTTTCCATAGCAGTGTTAGACCAGTCATAGGACCAGAAGTCTTAGCAAGGTTTTAAGGCCTTCTTTTCTGTTTCATTGCAAAGTCTATAGGCCTGGCGAAAGCCCTTGCTGAGGTGCCAGCGTGCTGCACGAACACAGCAGGAGCCTTCGCTTCTTCATTTTGGGAAGCCCTTATGCCCACCGGTGGGATGGAGCGTGAGCAGACTTCTTGCTTTTCTCTCTCTGGCTCTTTCACCCCTTTGCTCAGCGGGAGCAGGAGCAGCCCCGTGCGGCCCAGCGACATCCCCCTGCCCGCTGCCACCTCTGGCATCGTTAGTAACACGTGCTTCTCTCTTCTGTACAGCTGCAAAAAGAAGCCCTGCTGCTGGAGAGCTCCAGGAGCGGAAGCAGAGGTCCTTGAGCAAAGATGGCCATCAGGGAAGCAAGTCCAGTGACTCCGGAGAAGAAGCAGATAAAGATTTTATTTTTGTTTAGCTCTCAGTGCAAGTGCTTCATGGGGCAAGAGCTTTTATAACAATCAGGGTACAGCAACCAACAGCCCTTCTTACCAGCTGCTCTTTCAGCACAGGTACATGTCCACGCAGAGGCCCTGCTACTCTGATCATGATTTACATGTACAATCAGTTGGCATTGATTTGGTTTTTAGTTCCCCTTCTGTACAATCCAGACATTCCTTTCCATGCCTTTGCTAAAGCCAGCAACTCTTTCGTGTATTCTACTTGAATTTCTTGGAAGCAGCTACAAAGACTGCCCTGCATTGGGGCATTTAGAAAGCAAAGCTGATTAACTGGACCCTGTTTCTCACTAATACACTGTACAGCAGGTAATGTGTTGTACTGCTGAATGTAAATGTGTCAGATCTGCACGTGACTTACCTATAAATATATTCTTGCGGTATGCAATTGCACATTGTAATTATATTAAAAGAGCACACTAATAAAATAATTTGTATAGATTATATATATTAAATGCTTGGGTATGGTTTTTACATTCTCCCGTAGGGAGCCTCTTTCTTCCTGTTATTGTACTGTACATAAATCTCCAACGCTTACATTTGTGTACTGTCAAAAAGCACAACAGAGAAGGATCTGAATGACATATAATCTTGTTATGCTTCCACATTCATATATTAATGTATATAGTTGATTGGAATGAGGGCAATTGAAATTTTATTAATATTGGTGTTTTCTAGAGGCCTTCTTCAGTTCTGTCTGCATATTAGCTTCCTTTCAATGTGTAATTCTACGAGAAAAATAGTTTGACATCTGTAAAAACATTTCTGCTTTTGAGGGAGGGAGTGCAAATTTCACAGATACCCACCTATGTTACAGGTTAAAGGGATTTTATTCATACGTATATTTGTAACAATAAAAATGATTTTACAACTGAAAGACTAGTCTCTGCTTTTAGCTGTGGTTCCATTTCTGGGCTGTCAGCATCTGCTTCGGAATGATGCAATTGTGTCACATAGACAAAGGATACAGGTGAGACAAAGTGACTTTTAAAAACCCTGTTCGTGTTGAAGGGAACACACGTACATCATCTTCATAAAATTACTGAGAGAAGATTTCTTTGTTAACTTCTTCCTTTGTGATCTTCAGCAAAGAAACCTTGATATAAAGCAAAAACGTGTTAGTTTACGTTGTGCACCATGGTTACATAGGACCGAGTGCCCCCAGGGGCTGACTGCTTCAGCAGCCCTCTCCCAGCGGCAGTTGTCCTGACCTTGTTGTGGCTTCTGGCTTGGGTGAAAAGTGCTGAGATGCTTGTAAGTCAGATGAACTCCTACTGCTGCTTAGTAAGTGTCAGGCTGTTGTTACCACTCTGGTACCTTGTTCAGTGATGGCTTCCTGGTGAGACAGCTCGCTCAGGACAAACAGTGGAAATCTGGTCAAGACCCCCTGCCTTCAGACATGGACAGGCTTGGGTGTCCACCCTGTTCCCCAGCCATCCTTGGAGGGTGGCAGGGTGCACATGTGTGTGCCCTGCCTTGCCCAAGGCACCTTCGCCTTCTTTGCACGGGTAGTTTCAGTCCAGCAGTGCCTGCTGGGCCTTTGCACAGAGCCTTTGCTCAGCCAGCCCAGGTTCTCGCATGGACCTTGATTTGTCCACAGGGGCAATAGCCCTCCCACAGCCCCTGGAGAATCACTAGCCTCTCTAACTGGTGTGTGGCAGTGCTGTTGCAGTGAGCAGGCTCTGAATTTTCCTACACAAGTTTCATCCTTAAAAATGAAGTTTCGTCCTGCATGGATACCTCTACCTCTTATTGGTAGGATGCTTTAGTAAGTACTGGTCTTTCTGAGAAGAAGTCTTCTCATCCTCCCCATAGGCCAACAGAGCTGGTGCTGCCTGGCACAGGGTCTGCTGGAGAGTGGTTGCTGTCTCTGAGGCAAGCAGGAGCTGGGGGTCACGGCTGCTGACACCCTGTCTGGGGGGTGACCTAGAAGCACAGGGGTGAAAAACCTGTATTTGCTGGTGGAGAGGAAGCAAAACTGGAGACAGGTAAGAAACGAGACAAGAATCTCTGCATTGGCACGGTGTGGAGAGAAAAGCCAGCAGATGTGTAGAAATGATGGCCCCCAAGCAGGTCTTAGCACCGGCAGCTCTAGCTGCAGCAGGCTGATCCTGCCTTGGATAAAGGCTCACAAAGCCCTCTGTAAGCACTGCCCTGGCCTTTCCTGCTCATAAATCTTTTTTCACGTGTTCCCGCTGGAGAATTTAACATGAGAGATACCCAGCAGGAGCCCCTTCCCATCTCAAATGCATCGAAAACGGCTGTGGCTGTCTGCCAGGTTCAAGCATGAACTCGAACAGCTCCACACCATGTCTTTATGACCTATTTCCCGCTCGCTACTAAAGTCGTTTAATGTCTGGATGATAGATTTTGAGTGTTTTAAAGTATCCCCTGATGTGCAGTAACAACAGTAAATATATGCTTTTAAAGAGGAGAGCAGCAACCATCTTAAATCCCCACCTTGAACAGGCAGAGCCATGAAGCCAAACCGAGATGATTCAGGAATTAATGTGGCCCATTAGTCACCAATTTTGTACTCAGTGTGGCCCGCTGCACTTAACTGAATGTCATCACTAGCTGTTGCTGCCATAGGAAGTAATGGTGCTTATTATTTGATTAATGTAGGGACAATTATTCTACCGCACAGAAAGCAGCTACTGAGAGATATTACCTAAGAAAATACCAGAAAAGCTCTCCTCCCATTAAAATATATTTTTTTTCTTGTGTCTGTTAGAGACTGCTTCATATTTTTCCTATGCACTAGGGTGTTAATGCAGGTGCGGGCTGAGCTCCTGCGCTAAAGCTTTTCCTTTGCTTTGGTTAAAGTCAAAGGGGAGGATTTAGATCGTGATGCTCTTCCTCACTTCTGCACCCAGCCTGGAGAGTGACTAGCAAGTAGAGCACAGGTGAGTGGGGACCGAGGATTATCATTTAATGCCATGTTCTTACTGGTGACTTAAATGGGTTTGAAAAGTAGAGCAGTCTTTGCCAATCTTAGGGAAGAGTCTGTAAATGGGGTGAATGGGAATTCCTATATAATTGCGGGGAAAAAAACTTTCTCTTTGTTTCAAATGTACAATGTGGCCAAAAATAGTTCTCCAGATTGTTTCCTTCAAGTGCGGTCAGCTGTTTCTGCTTTCCACAGATCTTATTTCTGTGGCTGCAGGCGGTTAGCTTGGCACATGCCAGGGCTTGGCCATTCTGCCCTCTCTATGCTCAAACAGATCCCTTTTAGAAGCCTCCCAAGCTCCCTCAGTTGCCTACATGGCACTACCAGTGAGCATCTCTGGGGCCAGCCATCATCTCAAGGATTACAAACTTTCCATTAGATAATAAAGTGCCCTCCATCTGTTGCATAAGCCTTCACTCGCGTCTTGGTAATGATAGCAAGCTGCTGCCTTAAGCTTCTCTCCATCTTCCACTCCCTGATTTATCAGGCTCTATGAAGCCCTGCTAGGCACATTTGTGGGTTTCCTGCTCACCCCTAGCACACCACCCTTCCGCAATCTCGTATTCTCCCCTCATGTCTCTTCCTCCCTGCTAAAGCCTCTCACCAACACCAGACAAGTGAGTCTCCGTAACAGGCTCCACCGGAGCCCCTACTCCCATTAAGCCTGGGCTCCACAGTGTTCCCATGGGGACTAACGCAGGGACAGGCTTGAGTCAGTTAATTCTAGAGGGGAGCTACCACCACGGCAAAATAGCCAGGGATTCCCAGGAGAGGAGGTGTCCCCATGGGACGCACATCGCCCAGCGCTGGGGACCACACAAGCGGGTGGGAGAGCCATTTCCAACACTTCAGCCTCCAGTGCTGGGCCTGCAGCCTCGCCCTCGGCTGCGTCTTGGACGTATTGTGTGTCTTGATGTTGCTCTTTGTGATGGAGGTAGCAGTTTTATTTGAAGGCCATAGTTTATTTTTGTTGCCTGTTTTAGTTAGTTAGTTAGCCTATTTATTTGATTGGGGTAGTTTTGAGAAGTGCGAAAAGGCTAAAGATGCCCGCGTTGTCCTTGTGGGCTTCTGAAAGTGGAAGAAGTTAATCAGGGCTGGCTTCAGCAGAGGGTTGTGCACCAAAACCTGGCAGTATCTGGTGAGGTCAGCTAGTCATGGTTGGAAAGACACTGTCAGAAGCAATCTGGGGAAGTGCAGACACCCTCCCATGCTGAGTACCACAGAGAAGTTACTGCAGAAATCATGATCAACTGCTTATTAGCAGTAAAAAAGGGGAAATGCAAGACCTGTTCCCCCTCTCCCCTAAATTTCAAAAGAGGGAGAAAAAACAAAATGTGAGACTCTGCATAGGAAACAAAGAAAAATTTGCATTTTCTAGAGATGTCCTGGCAAGGGCTTTGCTATCACTAGGCTAAATTTCTCACGCTGTGTGCTGCAGCAAACCGAAGAGGCTCCTGCCAATGTGCAAGCAACCTCTGCCTGACATGCAAGTGAATCTGTCCATAAGGAGCAGAGAGCGGTGGTCACCACCACCCCACACCAGCCATCCTGGGACTTTCCCACTGGCAGGTTTCACGTGCCCGCATGTGACAAGCACCACTGGGAGAGCAGAGATGAGCCGCTGTGCTTCATCCCAGCGCCTTCGCCGGGTCCTTTCTCTGATGCCCTTGTGCTGCTCTGCTTTAGTGACTGGAAATAACCCCAGCCACAATCAACTTGTTGTCTTTTTCTTCCTTGTTTTTCCAGTAAGTCAAATGGAGAAAGATGCAAGGATGACTATCTTAATTAGATTAAGACTGGCCAGAGAAGGCCAGAGAGGGGCTGCTACCAAGGCAAATACAATTAGTTTTAGCTAAATGGAGGAGTAAAGTTAACTCTGTAATCTCTGCTCAGAAACACTGGTCCCACAGTGTCTCTTCCCACTTCCATCTGCTTAAGCAGGAGAAGTCTGGCAGTGGGTGCGGGAGAGCCGCAGGGATGGCCAACAGCTTCTGGTTTTTCGAGCAGCATTAAATCCTGGCCGACTGGAGCAGCACATGGCATCAGCCACATGGAGACTGCAGCCATTCCCGGCAGAGGCTGCGGTGAGGCCTGCAGCTCCCGGCTCTGCGCCGCCACAGTGAGGTGGCACCTTCGGAGCAAGACATGGATGGGCTGAGCAGGTGCTTGGCTGGCTTCCCTTTAGGAAATGGCTTCTTGGGTTTTGTTTTATTTTTCAGTCTCAATTCGTCAAAGCATCCAGGTGAGGAGGGGCGGCTGCTCACACAGAACCAGCCCCAGGGTCCTGCCCACTGGTCCAGAGCAGGGACCAACATGAGGAGCTGGAGCCTCTCGACTCAGGGAGCTGCTAAAGCCCAACTGTGCAGGGAGCTGCTAAAGCCCAGCTGTGCAGGGATCTGAGATGGACTGGTGCGACCTGCCCTTGATGCCAGGGCTCAAACTGGCCACCCCCAAGTGTCCCCAGAATAGGGCTGCCTGGCTCCAGGAGTATGTCAAGCACGGTGACATGGGGAGGTTTGCCAGCAGTGAGAGGGAAGGAGGGAGGGCGCCAGTATTCATAGATGGGAGTTTGGGATCTGTGGCTAATAAGCATCTTGTCCCCGTCTGCGGATGGGTTTGAATAAAAAAATAAATGTGGGTTTCTTTTCTCCAGCAGAGAGCTGTCTCCTAATTGACTTCAGAGCTAATGGCAGGGCGATTCGCCCACTCTGTTGTTTCGACTTTGTTCCGTTTCAGCCTCCTCCACCTGCTCCCCAGCGCTGGCTCCCCACGACACTCACGGCCCCTTGCCAGCCTGTGGCACAGGCGCCCCCGCCGCCGCCTCACGACTCCTTCGCTGCAGCCTCCTGAGGAGGAAGCTCCTGTTGTCATAACCAGCCCCCGTGACACCTGGGCCTCCTTTCCTGACAGGGCGAGGGATAAAGTCGTGCCCCAGACCCAGGCGCTGGTTCTGTCCCCACTTCTTATCATGGAAACGCATAAGTGGGAAATGGAGATTCAGGGTCAAGCCCAGAGAATGAGGGCATTGAACGCTGCTTGTCTTCCCACACACAGAGCAGCTGCTGATCTCAGTGTGTGAATGTTTGGCCATCTGCAGGCCCTGGGTTGATGTCTTCCTCAAGCTACTTCAGTCCGTGTTTGAACCACATGTTCCTTATGTTGCTCATTACCATGAAAATATCACTATTTGGTCTTTGCTAGTGAGGTGGGCAAAAACGATGGCCTTGCTTGTGCTTCCAGGCCCACAGCAGGTGGCCATGAAGGGCTTTCGGCAGGAAGGCATGTCCTGAAGCACCCAAACCCCACTGAAGTCAGTGTCTGTTCATGGCACTCTCTCTTCTTGCAGGCGAGAGTTTCCCTGTGGGAATGCTCATGGCAGGGAGGGCTGGAGGCAAAGAGCATTGTGTGTTCTCAACAAAGTGCCTGGAGAAGGGCAGGATGCCCGGGCCAATCTCAGAGAGCTGAGACTAGCTCGGACAAAGACGAGAGCATGTTCATTGAAAAGGACCTGGAGCACAGAGGTACCATGGATATTTTGATCTTCTCCTCCTCCTAGGGAGCCTTACTTACCTAGATCTCATTTTTTTATCCAGAAGTATTGATGATGTGTTTCTTAGGAGCATCACAAATCACCAAGAAACATTTCCGAGCAAATACCACTTTAAAAAAAATCTGATTCAGGTAAAATACAAAAAGATATTTATTTTCATTTGAAAAAATAGTAAAATAAACATCTGAACTAATGATCTGCCATCATAAAGGCTTTGTGCAAAATATCCATCCTGTCATATTATTACTTGATAGCCATTTTTGCACTTAAAAGAAAACAGAAGTGTTTTTCAAAATATGTATCTCTAGAAATATATGATACTATAAGGATAAAATTCAATTCTCCTATTTTATTTTTATAAATATATATCTAGCTTTTCAAAAAAAAAAAAAAGGGATTTGAAATCCTCTGCTCTCTGCTTCTAGCATAATAGCACCATTGCATAGTGCAAAGCCAGAACAGGACCATTTTCTACCGTAGGAGGAAAAAGTCTTAATCGGAAGCATTCCCTTCTTTTTTAGTTAGCAGATTCCATTAATTCTTACTTATTCCTTTAAGAAAATAAGGCAGAACAATACCTGACTTTGGCACATGAGCTGTACACACAGCACATCATACATTCCTTTTGCTGTTCTAATAGCAAGGGCAACCTGGCACATGAGCTGTACACACAGCACATACATTCGTTTTGCTGTTCTAATAGCAAGGGCAACGAATCTCCAATACACTCTCCCAAAGTATTGCACCCTGAAAAACCTGCTGCTCAAGTGCTGAAACTTGCTGTGAGCTGTTTGTTTAACCCCACGTGACCATTAGTGGTTCTGCTGCTACGCCAAGAGCAGCATAGGAAAGGGCTGGAGGGCCAAGTCCTCCCAGATCCCAGCATTCCACAGACCCACACAGTGGCCTTCTGCCCTACTTTATTGATATCTGTTATTGGGGAAGACCCTCACCACGGTGGCACTGGGGCTTGGTGGTTTGTTCCTGGCTACTCGCTGTCCTCCAGGCTGCCCTGCTGCCTCAGGCAGATCCTCAGCAGGATTAAAAAAACACCAAAATTAGTCATCAGGTGTTTTCTAGTGCTTCATTGAGTAACCTGCATGCTGAGGAAGCTGAAACCAATTTTAGCCATGCAAAATTACATCTTAAATGCAGTTTAGCTGATACTGTTATACACAGCTTCAGTGTAATACCTGTTTGGGATGACCTGATGAAGTTTTGGAAGGGTGTTTAAGTATCCTCCCGTGTTCTTCAAGGGCCAAAGATATTTTGCAAACTTTGAGATTCATTCAAAGCTTTTGCAGAGTTACTCTGACCATCTGTTTTCCCAGGCTTTCCATACATCCATAATTGTGTCTAACCAGCCACTGCATGTGCGTGCTCATGCCCACGTGAACATGTGCGTGCCAAGGATTGTGCGATGAGGCCACAGGGCCTCCCACAGGAGTAACTGTGGGGCACTGGTCTAAGGCTTCGGAAGGCAGACCCTAAAAATTTAGACTTTCTGTGCATATCTTGGTTTAGCAGACGCTTCTTTCCCTTGGCTGTTTGTGCTCATTAGATGGGGTTGGGGTGCTCTTAGCCTTGAATCAATATTTTGGCTTCTTCTGGACTGCCAAGGTAGCCAGAGGCAGCTGGCCAGAGAAGAGCTGCCACAAGCAGCTCCCGGGCTGCTAGGTGAAAGCTGCAACTCTGCAGCATCTCCTCTCCCTTTACGCACTTAGAGTAACCCAACATTTTGTTCAATGGCCTGGCCCTTTCTCGGGCTCTGTCAGCTGAGGAGAGGGCCATGGTGCCTTGTGCCTTGCAGTTAGCTAGGGGCCAACCTGTGAGGTGGAAATCACTGGTGTGACTGCTCTAAAACAACATGGTGTGCAGGTAGGGTGTTCACTGAGTAAAATGCCACTTTATGTTTTTCAGATTTTTTTTTTTAAAGACTGAAGTAGAGCCTGCTCAATGTAGACATTAGAGTGCTTTTTTGAAAGGCATCTCTGCTCTGTCTGCTGCTGAGAGGCTTTCTAAAGCAGTCAGTGTTCTCAGAAAATATTATATATATATATTCAAACAACTGGCAAAGTTATAAGGCTAACATAAAAAAAAGTTATAACTTTGTTAAATGTGGCAACATTAGAAGTCTGAACATGTATTTTCAGTCCGGTATCTTTTATCTTTTTGAGATAACAAAGTTATAAGGGTAATATAAGCATGCTGTCAAAACCCACTCTGCAAGCCCAGGTGAAGACTGCAACAGCAGCAGCAAGCACACTCCCAGGGATTTGCAATCCCTACACCTATATGTACAAGTGACCTTCAGCTCCTGTGTAATACCGAGCAGGAGCAGTGGGAATAAAGTGACCTGCACCAGCAGCGAGACTTCTAGACCCCGAGGCTCCGTCTTTCATTGGCATCCCGGGAGGAGCAGGATTAAGATTCCCAGGTGCTTCACCTTGTAGATGGCCCTACCTCAGCGAGAAACCCTCGTGACCCTTAACGGGCCAAGAGGAGGGTGAGGGAGCTCCCTGCCCCCCGTTACTGCTTCGTGCTCACCAGTGCAGGAGGAGGGTCCACATCTCAGTGTCTCCTCGGGATGTTCCCCCC